AGTAGAGTAACGTGTAATGAACTTTGAAAGTAATGTATTACATTTCGTAATTGCCTGCTGAACTTAATGATACACAAAACACTCATGTATAGATGAAATATAATAACTGTATATATGAGAATATGATTCTGCTATCATTTCAAAGTATAGTTCATGGAGACTCCCAGCATACAAACTGCAGCTTACCTAGGTAGGACCCCAGGTTAAGTATTCCTGAGGTAGTAACTAATTTATGATTGTGGTGAGGTTGTTGCTATGGATACACTATAACTCTTTTCATTCTGTAGTTTGGACCTGGCTAGGCACCCGTAATGAGTAACTTACAGGACACATGGAGAGCGTGGGCCTAATTGGATTGGAAGGAGTAATATGGAAATCATGTGAGGACATAAACTGGGACCGTATGGTAGAGGCCCATGAAAACCAAATATTGTATTTTTCACTTGATGTCAAAGGCTGGTAGTCTTTGTTTTGGGTATAAAAGTAGGTCAACAAAGTAACAAAATAGATTTTTATGGAGAAGTCATGCAACAGTGTGTGCAGTGTCAAATGTGCAGTATCAAAAGGGATTGAGTGAATTTAATTAAAAATTTCCTAATGTTATCTTGGAATAAATTGGGGAGGGCCTGGCCCAATAGGGTTACAAAGGCCATGTGAGTACAATTAGGAAGGAAGAAAATATAGGATGTAGGCGATGAAGCAGAAGCAATTAAGGGACTTTTGGGTTCCTCATTACCAGGAAAGTGTTGTTAAGGGGAAATTAATGGATTCAGGATCTCCTGATCTTTCTCAGCTCTACGTCCTCCTTTGCCTCATCATTCCCTGGCTCCCTCACTGTTGTATGCTATTTCTGCTTTCCATTACTTTGTTTTCTTTAGATCTCTTTTATGTATGAAAGTAGTTCTTATGAAACCCTGTTGGAAGCTCCTGTTCCCCAGAAAAATTCACATGTGTAATTCTGTCGTTTCAGGGTAGTTTATAGATACTCCTAGCGTCCTAAGTGTGAAGCTCACATATGTCCCCAGGTTAAGAATTCCTGATGAGACCACTGTTCTATGATTGGGTCAGGTTGGATCTAACTGTAAAGACTTTGGCTTTCTTTGTAATTTCTCAAAAATATATATTAACAATCTACCATCATTGAATTGGAATTAAGAGCATGGCCTAAAAAATAATAATAAAAATTTAAAAATAAAGACCACACACAGCCTGTTCGTTGGCACAAGATGAATGTCAGATGAATGTCAGTGGTGCCTTGGAGAGGGTTGGTCCTTAGGTTTTACTGCCTGAGCAAGGGACCTTAAAACCTTAGAGCGAACTCTATTCCTTTGCATTAAGAGTGCTAAGATTCTATTCCTGTGGTGTTGAGGCAGTGGACGTAATCTCGCTTAACCTGTGTTCTTGCCTGTCTTTGCAAAGTTCATGTTTTAACTTCAACTGGGGAGGCAGTAGCATCTCATACATGAGAATTTCGAACTTCAAAGAAGAAAAGTGTTTTCCAGTGATTGGAATGGGATTCCTCTCCCACACTGTGGCTTCTGGATACTTCTAGAAAGCTGAGTTTTTATCCCTCTTCTGCCCTGTTACCCCTTTGCGTATGTAGGTGGACATACACTCATTTTTCCTGCCTGGTGATGATTTCTGTCCATTATTGGTGCCTCTTGGCTTTGCCATCCTTATACTGCTGCTTCCCAGAGAGGAAAGCTTCTGAGAGGAGCAGGCTGTGTTCTGCCCCACTGCTTCCTTTCTCTGGGCTGGCCTGAGCACTAGCCTGCTTTTGTGAGAAAGCAGCTATTAAGCAGACACAGCAGGAGAAGTTTAGAAGTCAGGAGTTTCATTCCTTGCCTAATGAAAAGAGATGTTGAGCTGTGGTTGCAGCCTGCAGGGAGAGGGAGAGGGAGTGTGGGGAGGGGAGTCAGGTGTTGGCTCTGTGGCGAGGGTTTCCGTGGAAGCAAACTGCTACCTGATTGTCCTCCCAGGTCTCAAAGACCAAGCTTCCCAAACCCAGGGAAACTTGGTTCCATAAGATGCAGGGGGCCCCACTGAGAAGTAGTGACAAAGCAGCAGACGCTGGATCTCCACTTTATTTACCATTTATGCAACAGTTAGTAGGCAGTCATGTCACATATCCTTATAGTCCTGGAACAAGATGTATATTATATTTCCTTTGGCAAAGAACCATGGCAAGCCTGCCATTCTTGGTGCTTGCTCCTTTCCTCTTTGAGCTACATGCATGGATGTGCTTCCCCCAGATATTCTCTTGAGAAGAAGCTCTTGCTGTGGCATCAGCCTTGTTTCAGGCTGAGGGAGGTTTTTCGGGGATGCCTCCCGGGTCATTTCTGCAGCAGTTTGGGAAGAAAAGCTGAAGCAACCTCAGCACAGGGAAGGAGACCCACGCTGAATTAGACCGTGTAGCTAGCTGATTTCTCAGAGCCCTCATACTTTGCCGCCTCTGTCCGGTGTACCACTTACCCTTTAGAGTGCTTCCTAGCTGGGCATTATTTTACTTAGTGTTTATAAATTATTAACTTTCAATTTTGCTTCTGTTTTAAGAACTAACAGTGAGAACTGTTTCTCTGTTTATACGTAGTGGTAATAAAATACTGCTTTCTTGCTGCCTCTTGAATGTGCCCGAAATTGATCTAATTTAGCAATCATAAGTATGAAAAGATTAAGTCTTTGAAGGTTTTTCCAAAATTAATGCCTATATGCAAATAAATGATAGTTCCTTTTTAGGAACAAGGTAGAGCATAAAGAAGTTTTTCTTAAACATTTTTTATTAAGGCTTAATTCTATAGAATTTTGGTTTTTAATTCATGTTTTCTGGTTTTAAGGTATTATTTTTTTTCTCCCTTAGGCATGCTTAATCTTGGCTAAGTCCTGGATTTCTGCTTTGGGCACAGAGCTACTTTGAGGTCACCAAAAGAAAGCAGAATTTTAGTTTATCACCTCACTGCTTTTGCCTCGAGAACCTTTGTTTTCTAACTTAACTGCTCAGGCCCTGTTCTTTTTTCCCTGTAGTTTATGAGATGCTGTCCAGCCCCCAGGAAAGGCCACAAGTTCAGCAGTGCTGTCACACGAACCCATCTGTTTATAGGGCAGGTCCATTTATTTTGGTTGTCCTTGTTGTTAGAAGAGGATAAGGCTGTAGGCATTTTGTGCCCCCAGAGGACCCGCAGAAGGCTTAGCAGGCCTCGCCTTGAAGAAGGGGAGTTAAATCAGGGTGGCTGTGAGCCTGCCTCACCTCACGGAGGCTTCTTGTTCCCAAGGCTGCTCCTTCGAGTTTGGGGTAGCAAAATGAGGAGAGCCTGTTGGTGGCAGAGGATGTTTGCCAGGCTTTGCGGGGTGGAAGAGTCAGATCTGTTGTTGGCCTCCAGCCATTGGTTTTCCATATAAGTCATCCTCCCATCCTCTGCCATTAGTTTGCAAATCCCGAGGTACTAGTAGTGTATCTTGAGAACCAGCCCTGGTCTGTGATCATTTAACACATTCCCTGACTGATAAATCACTGCACTAAATTTTAAATGGAAAGTTCTGACCCACTTGCAATTTCTAAGGCTAAAGCCCTCGATTCGAATTCAGAAAGAACCATGGGAATTCAAGGAACTCAGAAATGCTTTTTCAGTTAGCAGTGCAGATCAGAGTGAGTGTTTGCTTTGTTTTTCTTATTAAACATCTGTACTTTCGTTTCTTACCCTTGTCATGGAATAGAAAGTAGATAGTAAGTTATCTCTGAATAGAAGGTTTTTCAGATTAGTTGAGTGAGAGATCCCCAGAGATGGAGGCAGAGGTGAGGGGTGGATGATAACATCCCAAGTATATAAGAAGTAGGACTGTGCCACTTTGCACTGGGCAACTAACTCTCACTCTATTTGGTATATGTGAGTTTGATTTAGAAAGTTAGGACCTGAAAGTAAGCCCTGCAGTGTATCGGCCTCTCCTTCTGGTCATTAATAAGTAAGAGCCTGAGCAGGGTAAGGTAGAAGTGTGGTTGCTGCTGTGTAGTGTGACGGTCCGACATACTGATCCTGGTTTGGGCACTTTTCTCTACATTTTGTCTGGAATTCAGAAACTCTAAAAAGGCTAGTCTGGAGAGTGGGTACACCCCTGAATCTCTATTTTCCATTCTCTAAACTCAAAAATATTCCTTGCTTTGGTCTGCAGGGTGGCACTACATAGGAAGGTCTTCCCTAATAGTGTAGTGACTTAGTGATTTACCCATCAGCTTTTATTCTCTGGTCCTTCATTGTTACATGAGTGATCACACCCAGTGATGCTGCTTAGGCTTCCGTCCCTGAAGCTACCACTCAGGGGATTAGTAGATAAAAGATGGGAGATTGGAGCAAACCAACCAGTGATCAGATGTGTGACAGAGTTCCCCCCAAGTCCCCTGCTAAATCTGCTGTGTTATAACCTGAATCTGATTTAAAATGAGGCTTAATGTCAGTTACGTAGTTTTTGCTAATTTTTTCCCCACTCTTAAAAATGACTTCTCCATATAGTGTTTCTTCATTCAGGGCAATTTAGCTTTTTATCTGGGAGGAACTTATTTCCATTAGAATTGGAACACTAGCTGCATATTTTGCATTTAAAATGTTTCATGTGATTAAATGCAGGAAGAAACATTATTACTTCTGTTTCTTAGGAGTGTGCTCTTCCAACTGATTCTTCTTTTGTGCCTGGAACAATGCCTTTAATTTGGAAACAAGTTTGGGAGCTCTCTCCGATTACCAGGCAGTATTACCAGGCACGCTGTTAGCTGAAACTAGCAGCCAAGTCCTGGAACTGGGCTTAGAAGAGCCGGCTTGTCTTCTCCCCTCTACCAAATGCTCCTGCAGAGACTGGCTACTCAGCAGTGTGCAGTATGACTTGTGTAGTGATAGACACCCTCCCCCCCCCCAATTTGAACAACCTCTCTTCTCACCGCTTTTTTCCCCACCCACCTATCCCTTCCTAATGTGATTTGTATATTAATTGGGTTTTTTCTTCTTCCTTTACAGAGCTATTAAGAATGGCAAAGGATTGCACAGCAAGAAGGAAGTGCCTATCCACCGTGTCGCAGACATATCTGGGGTGAGTTGTGTCCCTGAACAGAGCTGTGTGGCTCAGAGGCACCAAGAGCTTGGCTGCTTATTCACCAAAGGACTTCAGCTTATGTGTTTTCTGTAATTCGTTTGTTTTCAGACCCAGAATGTGGATTTTTCCAGGGCTGCTGCTTTTGCATCTGTGGAGATCCTATTTTATATTCTGAAAAAGCAGAATTCAAACTAGGGCATAAAACCTCCTCCTATCTCTTCACCTGAACTGTTACTGTGTTGCTTTTCCATTTTTTCATTATGAGGAGTTAGAAGATATTTCTTCCCAATTGTAGTAAGAAAAAATTACCTCCTTTTTAAATCCCTGTTCAGTTCTCACTATGACTAGAAAGTCTTAATGGAAAAAGGTCAAGTGTAGATTTTAGGACAACCTTAAAAATTAGTGGCTTCTTTTTCCTCTGGTTGTCTCTGAGTGGGAGGGATGTGCGCACATCCTGTGAGCTCATACATGTAGATGATATAGAAGAATGGAAGGCGCAAATACTTACGAGCTCCCAAAGGGCTGTGTCCAAATGACTACTTAGTGAATAGGACTTTACCCTTGCACATTTAGGATCTTTTGGCTGAAGATGATGCCTTTGTCAGTTGAGACAAGTATTTATTCAGCAAGTATTTGAGTGCCTACTGTGCCTGAACTGCTCTAGGCACTAAGAATGTAACAGTGAACAAAACTGATACAAATCGTTGCATGCAAGTGGGCAAGGGAAACAGCAGCGTTGGGAAGCAGTTGCTACGAAGAGAAACAGAACCAACTGAGGGAAGAGTGAGCCGCTTAGGTGTTGATTTGATCAGGTGCCCAGAGAAGGTTCATTGGGTCATCAATTTACCCTCTGTTCCTGGGACACACACCATCCATTTCAACTCCGTAGTAACTTATGGTTAAGGGGGGAATCCAGGTCATGTGTAAGGGGGACCACATCGCCCAGGGGAGATGACTGAGGAAGGGCTAGTAAATCTTAAGCTTTTGGATACTCAGGGAGCTTGCCTTGGGCACCCAGAAGAAAATGCTCCTATAAACAAAAGCTTCTAAAGCTCAGCCTAGCCCACAGCAGTGATGGATTAGAGTGTATTATCTTCTTGTTATGTTGTGTTCCCGAGCCTGGCTGAGACTTTGCTTATTGTTCCTTGTGACTGCTTAATATAAATGTGTCTGGCCAGCTGCCCCTTGCTTAGGAATAGCGGTACCGTGTTCATTTTGAGCAATGGGATTCTCCTGAGCTTTTCTTACCCTGACCAGTCACTTCAGACTACAGATTAAATAGTGTTCCCTACATGGAGTGGTGGACTTTTGTCAAAGAGTCGTGCCTCTGTTTAATGAGTGAGGTATGTTGATACACATTCTTTGTAGCTAAGATTCCCCTGAAGCTCAGAAACTTGTTGCCAAGGGCCTTCGAGCCCCAGGTGACTAAGATGTATCTGCTGAGGCTCCTCGTTAACAGGTGTGACTCCTGGCTTGCTGGTATTACGCCTAGTTTCCCTGTGGCTCACCTTGCCAAGTGATCATTGACGTATGTGGTAATTGCTGCATGTGTCTCCTGTGCTATTCTCTACAATATTTTCCTTAATGTTCTTTTGTTGAAGATGGTGGAGTAATCAAAGGGCAAGTTTTTGGCTGTTCAACGGGAGGGAGAAAAAAGTTATAAATAATGGTTTTGGAAAACACAACGTTGACGACTCTACACCAGGGCCAGATGTGCCCACCCAAAAACTTAATGTCAGGCTTGCATTCCAGGGCCTTCTAGAAGCTGAATTAAACCTTGAGGATGGTGTGATGCCTTTTGGCCTGTGGAGTTCATGTTCTTGCTCAGATTTCCCATTGGCAGTGAAGGGAAGTCCTTATCAGGTTTTTGAATGGAGGCATGCTTGCCTCGGGGCTGTTCTTTTGGCACCTGCCAACGTAGTATCCTGATGCTTTTTATTGCTGTCTTTGAATCTTCCACTTATAACTTGATGTGTTTTGGTGTTGTCTTTTATTCCTTTTTGCAACAACGGTCTTAATGAAACTTGTTTCATTTTTTTTCTTCCTATTTTTTTCTCTCTTCCTTCCCCAACTATAGCTCATCTTCATACATATCTTTATTCTCCTTTCTGTCTTGATTTTGGAGAACTGGTTTGCTCTTCTGTTACTTAAAAATACATGTGAGTTAAATCTCCCTCAGTTACCACAGAAATAAACAAGGAAAGCTTGAACAAGTGGGAGAGAGAAAGTGAAAAAGCTCTTCTGTTTAAATAGATGTCAGAGTGACCTTGTCTACCTCCATCACACATGATTCAGCTCTGAGTGCAGGCTTTCTTTTTTTTTTTTTGTTTTTGTTTTGGTGCCCTCTGTAACAGAGGAATTTTGTCTCTTTGCTTCTAGCCCCCCGCTTCTTTTCGTCACAGTGTTGTGTTAAGTATGTAAGTATGTGTGTGTTGGGCTCCTGAAGCATGTTGGTGATGTTACTGTCCAAGGGACAGGTGAGCATGTGGGATCAGACAGGCAAATAGCTTACAGGTGGATGAAGACCAAACACCCCCAATACGAGCAATGAAATACACACATTGATAATGGTTTTGTAAAACTTACTGAATCTTTTTTTTTCTTTTTATCTGGGTCTCTCCCCAGTTCATCGTTCCGTTCCGCCTCTTAGGTGTAGGTCATGATAAATGGAAGTGTTTGTTGAGCTGATGGGATATGCAATATGCTGCCAAAATCACTTAGTGTGGACCAGTATTTATACATAATGCCTCTTGCCATCTCAATATACATCCTTGGAATAAAAACAAAAGACATATAAGCTAATCACATTTTCGTCTCCTAAACACACTCAAGAAATACGCTATGCAGAAGATCTTAATGTCATGATGTAATTTGTTCTAGGCTTAATGGCCTCCAACTTTTAGGGTTGAGTTTCTCCCCGTTGTCCATATCTCTTCTCTTGCACTTTCAAAGATGATTTCACTGTGTAAAGGTTAAGAGTGCCTTAAAAGGCCTTGTATGGAGCCTTAGCCGGTGTTAAGGCCTGCACGGCTGACTTCCTGCGGTAGGAAGGGAGTAATCCCTGCACAGGAGCAGGAGGCAGAGCACCTGCTTTGGGAAGAGAGACACTAGCCTCTGGGTAGTGGAACAGGGACGCCTTTTCGTACCCACTCGCTGGCTTTCCGGGACAGGACCGGACGTGTATTGGCTACTCGGCGTGCTTTTTCACTCTGTGTTCTGCTACGCCATTAGAGCCTCTTGCACTACGTCCCATATTGTGAGCCTGTTACAGGTTTTTGATTTTTCAGAAATGTTGTTCGCTCCCAACTTTTGGGTGATTCCTTTCTCTGTTGTTTTCTTGTTAATATAGATGATTTTTGTCATTAATGTCAGCTCAGTGCTGTGTTTTCCATAAGGTGCACAGCATTTGTGTGTGTAACACCAACTGAGTGAACCCCGCCTTTTGGACGGGGTTTTGTTAGACCTGGCTCTTCTGCATCTTTTGCATCTGTTCTCAGGGTAACCACTAAGGAAAAAAATACTGCCAGTCTGGTAATTTGGATCCTGAAGAAGTTAGTAATTTCCTTTACTTCTAATTTTTCAAGGTGAAGAAAGTGGAATATTTTAAGTACTGGTCATTGTTGTCTTTTCTGTAATCATCTGGTTTCCTTTAGGCCAGGATGTTCCTATGAATTTGAAACCAACTAAGAATTTGACAGACTTGGCACTAGATCTGATTTGATTTGGAGGATGGTTCTGTAGTGACTGCTTCACTTCATAGATTCGCATTTTTATTCCTAGCAGGGTTTGTTTTTCCTTGATCCAGTCTCCACTCCCTCCCTTACCGGCAGACAAAAGTTGGAATGTGCGTGTCAGTAGAATATAAGACTGTTTCTTATCTTAGGTTTATTATTGTTTTTGCTGTAGCCTGTTCTGTAATAAATATGATCTCCTGCAGATATAGAATGTAAAACAGGCGATAAAATGGGGCTGGTGCATGGCTTACTGTTGTTCTGGTAAATCAGACAAATCAATTATTGTTCTGAGGAGCTACCCACTCCTCAGGTTGCAGGCAGCATGCACTGACTTCTTCCTGCTCCTCCCTCCACTCCTTCCTTTTCCCTTCCTGCGTGAGGAGTACTCAGTGAGTCACACGGTCTGTTTCCCTCTCCCTCTATTTCCTGTTGTATCTGTTCTTTCTTTCCTGGTGCGTGAGGAGTTAGGAACTTTGTTTGTTGCCAGCAGTGCAAGAGGATAGAGCTGGGGCCAGCATCCCGTTTCTCTCTAGTCATACTTCTATAGGTCCCTCAGATGGAGTTTCCTTTCTCTGAACGTTTCTGCCTCTTCATGATAGGGAGTCGTGTTAACTCCTCTATTAATATTGCTGTTGCTTGCTTTCCTTCCTTGCCTCCAGTAAATCCCTCTGTCTTTTTTTCTGTTAACTGCTGCTGTGTTCACTTGGACTTTGGTTCCTGCTCTTGTTAACATAGGAACTTTCTTGTAACCTTTCCATGATGATTTTGTTGGACATGCATAGTATTAAAGTAGGGCCTGGAGTGATCCAAAGACTAGCTCTGGGGGTACGAAGTAGAAGGTCAGATTTTTGGGACCCTCTTGCTCTAGTATATCATGAAATGTATACTTGTTGAATTTACCAGTGAGATTCTAACTTGCAAACATAACAGATTGAAGTGTTCCCTTAAAATAAATAAATAGGGGTTGGTTGGGCATCTGACTCTTGGTTTTGGCTCAGGTCATGATCTCGGGGTCCTGAGGTCCAGCCCCGTGTCAGGCTCTGCGCTCATTGCTGGGTCTGCTTAAGACTTTCCTTCTGTCCCTCCCCTCCTCACCCTGCCCCCCCCAAATGCGCAGTGCTCTCTCTCTCTCTCGCTCAAATAAATTAATTCAAAAAGTAAATAGATAGGATTTTTCTGTAGCATTTTCTCCTGACCTTTTTCCTTCAGCTCATAGTTTTTCAGTGCTTTCTTGTACTTGTATTGTCCTCTTTTCCTTGGGGT